AAGTGGAAACTTGGACAAACAACTAAAGAGGAGTATAAGAGTATTTCTTGGGCATGCAGGGATGGAATCAGGAAGCCCAAAGCACAATTGGAGTTGCAGCTAGCAAGTGATGTGAAGGGTAGCAAGAAGGGTTTCCACAAGTATGTCAGTAACAAGAGGAAGATCAGGAAAGTGTGGGTCCCTTACTAAATGGATGAAGCAACCTAGTAACAGAGGATGCAGAAAAGGCTGAAGTACTCAATGCCATTTTCACCTAAGTCTTCAAAGACAAGGTCAGTTCCCAGCCTACCACACCTGACAGCACTATTTGGGGAGGACATAAGCAACCAACAGTGGCAAAAGAACACGTTAGGGACCATTTAGACAACTTGGATATATACAAGTCCATGGGACTGAGGGAGTTGACTAATGTGATTGCAGAGCCACTGGCCATCATCTCTGAAAACTCGTGGAGATCAGGAGAGGTCCCAGATGATTGGAAAATGGCAAATATAATTCCCATCATTAAGAAAGGAAAGAAGAAGGATCCAGGGAACTACAGACCAGTCAGCCTCACCTCAGTCCCTGGAAAAATCATGAATCAGGTCCTCAAGGACTTCATTTCTAAGCATTTGGAAGAAAAGAAGCTTACTGGGAACAGTCAGCATGGATTCACTAAGGGCAAGTCATGCCTGACCAACCTGATTGCCATCTGCAATGAGATGTCTGGCTGTGTGGATATGGGGAGACCAGTGGATGTGGTATACCTTGACTTTAGCAAGGCTTTTGATACAGCCTTAGCAGGCAAGCTAAGGAAGTATGGGTTGGATGAATGGACTGTAAGGTGGATAGAAAACTGGCTGGATCATTGGGCTCAGAAGGTAGTAGTCAATGGCTCAATGTCTAGTTGGCAGTCAGTATAAAGTGGAGTGCTCCAGGGGTCTGTCCTGGGGCTGGTTTTGTTCAATATCTTCTCCAGTGACCTGGAATATGGGAGACAGCGCACCCTCAGCAAGTTTGCAGCTGACACCAAGTGGAGGGGGAGTAGTAGATATGCTGGAAGGTAGGGTTAGTATTCAAAGAGACCTAGACAAACTGGATGATTAGACTAAAAGAAATCTCTTGAGGTTCAACAAGGACAAGTGCAAAGTCCTGCACTTAGAATCCCATGCACCAGTATAAGCTGGGGCTTGACTGGCTAGCCAGCAGCTCTGCAGAAAAGGACCTGGGGGTTACAATGAGCAATAAGCTGAATATGAGCCAGTAGTGTGCCCTTGTTGCTAAAAAGGCTAATGGCATACTGGGCTGCATGGGTAGGAGTGTTGCCAGCAGGTCAAGGGAAGTGATTATTCCCCTCTATTCTGCACTACTGAGGCCACATATGGAGTCCTGTGTCCAGTTTTGGACCCCCCACTACAGAAAGGATATGGAAAAATTGAAGACAATCCAGTGGAGAGCTGTGAAAATAGTTAGAGTGCTGTACAACATGGCTTATGAGGAGAGGCTGAGGGAACTGAGCTTATTTACAAGAGAAAACTGATGGGGGACTTAATAATAGCCTTTAAACCTGAAAGATGGTTCCAAAGAAGATGGAGCTAGACCAGGAGTGGGCAAAATATGGCCTGCAGGCCGGATCCAGCCCGAGAGGCCATTCTATCCGGCCCGCAGGGCCCCTAAAAAAATGTAGAAAATTAATATTTCTCTGCCCTTGGTTCCTGTCAAAAATGGGCAAGGGCAGTAGGACCCAGGGGAAGCCCAGCGGGCTCCAACAACAGCGAGGCCTACCCCGCCCCACCCCCCAGGCGGAAGCCCCAGCTGCAGTTTCTGGGCTGGGAGCAAGTGGCTGCTCTGGTGCGGAAAGCTCAGGTAAGAGGAGGGGACCCCAGGCAAGGAAGGAGTGTGGGGGGGGGGAAAGGCCCTTCCCTGCCCACACCTGGTGCCACACGCTGCAGCTTCTCACAGCCCACATGGGGCTGCCTGTGCCCGCTCTGGAAAGCCCCATGCAGGCTGCAAGTGCCTGCAGTGTGGGACACTGGGCATGGGGTGGGGGGGGAGCCGCTTCCCCCCTGCACTCAGCTTTTCCCTGGGCTCCTTCCCTGTGCAGAGAACAGCGGCCCCTCGCCCGGCACCCTACATTGCAGGTGCTCACAGTCTGTGCAGGGCTGTCCACAGCAGGCACAGGCAGCCCCAGGCAGGCTGCAAGTGGCTGCAGCGTGGGACGCTGGGCACGGGGCAGGGAGGAGCTGCTTTCTCCCCCCCCCATGCTCAGCACGAGCTTGTAGCCCTGCCCCACTGCCAGGCTGGCAGTGGGGCGGGTTACAAGCTGGTGCTGAGCATGGGGGGGGGAGAAAGCAGCTCCTCCCTGCCCCATGCCCAGCGTCCCACGCTGCAGCCACTTGCAGCCTGCCTGGGGCTGCCTGTGCCTGCTCCAGACAGCCCCGCGTGGGCTGTGAGCGCCTGCAGCAGGGAGCGCCAGCTGTGGGGCAGGTGAGGGGTTGCTTTTCCCCATGCCCAGCACCAGCTTCTTCCCTGCTGGTGAGCAGGGGGTTGGGGCTGTGAGCTGCCCCCTGCATGTACCATGGGGCTGGGGGGCACTGGGTGTGAGCAGGCAGGGAGCCAGTGGGAGCACAGGGCCCACACTGGGGTCCGGGGGCCCGTGCCGGGGGGGCCCAACGCAGGGTGGCAGGAGCACAGGGTCCCAGCCAGCAGGGGCTCTATGGAGCCAGGCCAGCTTCCCCCTCCCTGCTGGTGCAGCCCAGCCTGACTCCACAGACCCCTGTTGGCCTGCACCCCACTCTGGATGCCACCGGTGCTGGCCCTGGGACATGGGTCCCAAGATGGTGACCAGGGGGTGGGGCACCTGTCAAGGGGCAGAGCACCCCATGCGTCCCTCGACAGCCTGTCACAGTGGACATCCACCCAAAATAATTGCCCGTCCCTGAGCAAGACTGTTCTTAGTGGTGGCAGATAACAGAACAAGGAGCAATGGTCTCAAGTTATATCCAGGGAATTTGGGGTAAAATATTAGGAAAAACTCTCTCACTAGGAGGATAATAAAACACTGGAACAGGTTACCCAGAGAGGTTGTAGAATCTCCATCCTTGGAGGTTTTTAAGACCTGACAAGACAAAGGTTGGCTAGAAAGATATAGTTGGGGACGGTCCTGCTTTGAGCAGGGGGTTGGACTAGATGACCTCCTGAGGTCCTGTCCAACCCTAATTATCTATGATTCTATAATTGTATACAGTAGCAGAAAATGATTCCTGAAATCAGGCTCAGTTTGTATATATGAAAGATAATTGCTTTATAAAATGTGCCTACTGTATCCCATTGTCCTATAGAACAGTCTTCATTGCATAAATCAGAGAAACAAAGGTAATGATGACTATAATTGCAACCTCTTCAAGAGAAGGGTTTTTATCCTGTGTTTGTGCATTGACCTGTACAATTGATCTAGTGGGATATTTAGGATTTTGAATGCAGAAGCTCTGTAGGTTTTAGCCCACTGATGTAATATCACATTGTAAAGGCTTGTTTGCTAGCCAGGGGCTTCTGAGTAAGCACCTAACACATAATGTACTATAATTTCCTTTAATATTCATTAGATTCTTGAGTTTAATAATAACCATAGAATAAGAGGAACTGGATCAGTTTAGTGAAAGGCACATTTAGAGGAATATCTCTATTTAGAATACTCCTATTTTTCCATTTATTTTGCCCGTGTAGCTTTCAAATGTCTATATTTACTTCTCTCTGACTATATTTCCACTGAAGAATGCTGAATGAAACTCCTTTCAAACAATCTCAGTACTGCTTACAGGCTAGGAAAAGGGTTCACTATGGAATGACAAGGCATTT